AGATCTGGATGGCTCACATAGACTTCATCAGTCACCTCAGAGCAGTCATGGTCTGGTACCCCCTCTTCCATGGGGATAAAGGTTGCTGGATTTAATGTCCTTACTGTTTCAAGGGTGACCCGTGGGTTTTCACAGAGGAGCCCTTGGTATTGTGCTAGCTGAGAGTTGGAAAGGAAGTGGTGTCCCTGTGCGTTCATGAGGGACACAACTGCATGAGCGACCTTGACATTAAGTTCTTGCCCCAGGGTAAGTTTGTCTGCCTCCTGATGAATAGGACTGTGGCTGCAAGCGCCCTGAGGCATGGCGGCCATCCCGCTGCCATGGGGTCCAGCTTCTTTGACAGGTAAGCAACTGGCCATTGCCAGGGCCCAACAGTCTGGGTGAGTACCCTGAGTGCTATTTTTCCTTTTCATGTACAAAGAGATTGAAGGGTTTTTCTACATCTGGTAAGCCCAGGGCTAGAGCCTGCCCCAGGGTGGTCTTTATCTCTGTGAAAGCAGCTTCTGCTTCCTCAGTCCAGGCGGGGGGTTCTCGATCTGGTCCCCCTAAGAGATCATAAAGAGGTCTTGCTATTGCTGAGAACTCAGGGATCCAGATGCGGAAGAATCCTGCAGCCCCCAGGAATTCTCATAGGCCCCTTTTTGTCTGGGGCTGTGGCAGGGAGATGATGACCCTTTTTCTCTCCAGCCCTAGTTCTCTTTTCCCTTGGGTGAGGAGGAAACCAAGGTATTGGACCTGTTGTAGGCAGATTTTGCCTTCTTCCATGAGGCTCAGTATCCCAAGTCTGACAGGAGCTGTAGGAGGGCCTTTGTGCCTTTTGTGCAGTCTTTTTGTGTGTCACTGGCGAGGAGGAGGTCATCCACATACTGGAGGAGGGTGCATCGCGTGGCCTCTCTTGGGAAGCTGGCGAGGCCCACGGCCAGCACTTCCCCAAAGAGGGTTGGTGAGTTTTTAAACCCCTGCAGGAGGCGCGTCTAAGTCAGTTGCATCTAGCACCCTATATCAGGTTCAGACCATTCAAAGGCAAATAGTGGCTGGCTCTGGGGAGCTAAACGGAGGCAGAAGAAGGCATCCGTCAAATCTAGGCAAGTGAACCATCTGCCGACCCTGGGATTTGGCTGAGGATGGTGTATGGATTCGGGACCACTGGGTGCAGAGAGATGGTCACCTTGTTGATGGCCCATAGGTTTTGAACTGGTCGGTATACCCCTCCTGGCTTCTTGACTGGCAGGAGTGGGGTATTCCAGGCTGATTGGCACTCGACTAGAATACCTGCTTCTTTGAGTTTGGTCAGATATTTTTGGATGCTGATCTTAGCTTCTGTGGAAGGGGGTATTGCCTTTGCCTTTGAGGTTGGGCTCCTGGGATCAGTTCAACAATGATAGGGGCCCGATTCCGGGCTAGTCCAGGTGGGTTGTTTTTAGCCCATACTGAAGGGAAGGCGAGTCTAAACTCCAATGGGCTGCTCAGTTGGGCCTGGGCACAGAATAGCCTCCATTCTTCTTCCCTTGGCATGGTAATTGCTAGTATTGGAGACCCCATCTCTTCTTGCCCTGGGTTCAATAGGAGGCTAGTGTGTCCAGTGGGCTCAAAGGTTATCTGAGCCCTAAGCTTGGAGAGCATGTCTCAGCCCAGGAGAGGGATGGGGTGATCAGGCAGATAAGGGAATTCATGTCGGACCTTGTGGCCCCCAAGTTCACACCGGCGAGTCTGGCAAAAGGGCTGTTGTATCGCCTGCGTCCCGGTGGCCCTAAGAATGGTCGCAGTCCTTTTGCTGAAAGGGGCCACTGGGGAGGTGACAACAGAGTTCTCGGCCCCAATATCAACCATAACAGTCACTGGTTGGCCCCCCACCTTCATTCTGACCATGGAATCATGGGAGCCAAGGAGGAAAAAGCCCAGTCCCCGTCAATCTGTGTCAATTCCCACACAGGGAATTGTAGCAGCTGGGCTTTTGAGCCTTTCCCTGGTTGGGACATTCATTTCTCCAATGCCCTTTCTCTTTACAGTAGGCACATTGATCCCTTGCCAAGGGGGTTCTGGGCTTCCCCCCTTTCGGTGGTTGGGGTCTCCCCGTCTTTGTGTTGTCCTTTTCTTTCAGGGCGGCAGTGAGGAGGCTGACTTTCTTGTTCATCTTTTTTGTTGGCTTCCCATTAGGCTGCGACCTCCCTATTCATGTAGACCTTATTGGCAAACTCTATTAGTTGGGTGATGTTCATCCCGGCAAAACCCTCTAGTTTCTGAAGTTTTTTCTGATGTCTGGGGCGGCCTGAGCCACGAAGGAGGTGTTTATCATCTGTTGGCTTTCCTGCGTCTTGGGGTCAAATGGAGTGTATATCCTGTAGGCTTCACATAGTCGTTCGTAGTAGTCCCCGAGGGACTCCCCTGGTTGTTGAGTGACCAAGGATACCTTAGTCATATTCATGGTTTCTTAGCTCCTACCCGGATTCCCTGGAGGAGGGCCTCCTGGTACCAGCAGATGTGGGCCTGTCCCTTGCTGGGTGCTCTTTGGGTGCATCCGTACTAGCCCAGGCAGCAGGGTTGATGACTCCTGCTGGTGCGTGCTCCATAGGGTTCTCAACTTGCCAGGGTTCATCCTGACTCCACAGTCTCCCGAAAACCCCTACTTGAAGTTTTTGATCTTGGTCTCTAGAACCGTAGGCTTACTCTGCCCTGACCCCATGGTGATGTCCCCGTGTGCAGTGGCGCAGAGACAGACAAAGGGGGGCGTGCCTCCTGAGGTGAGGAGACCAATCAGATGCCTGTTTGGCCATGTCTCAAAGGAGCTTAGATGAGGCTTAGCCGTAGCGGTCTCAGTGTTGTGACTTATGATCAGAAACTATCCCGATGCCACCACAGACTGTGTGCTATTCACCACGGAATCGCAGACGGGCCCACTCAGACTCCATAGGCTTCTGGGGACCTTAAGGGTGCCCGCCCGTGGAGTCACAGAATCAGTCAGCTTGAGCAAGCCAGGTCAGACTGCACGTTCACTCACACATTCACACTCTAGAAGTTATTACATTCCCTCCCTGGGAATCCCTACCTGTGAGACCTCTAAGAGGTCTCTGGGAGGTGATCAGACTCCCCTTCCACCCCAGTGGGGGTGGGCCTGTCTGGGTCCTGGGGCCCCAGGCCTTACCAGAATCCGACATCAGGACCAGGTCCTCACCTGCCAAATCTCCTCGAGTCTGGCGGGAACAGCGGAGCGGGGCCGGCCCGAGGTGACCAGGGTGGGAGACTGCCAAAAATTAGGCAGGGAGCACCTTCTCCATTACGATTCCTCATTCCATCACCGCCCCGCCGTTGCCCCAAACCGGTGGCAACAATGGGCCAGCGTGGTTGGGTTTCTTGGTCAGGGAACCAAATGTTACAGAACCTGGACTGGATTGCGTGACAGAAGAACCAAGCGGCACTCGGAGATCTTGGAGGGTAGGAGGTTTATTTAATGCCAGCGGGCTCAGAGGAGAGTGTGCTCCAAAGGTCTGAGCCCTAAGCACAAACAAAGGGGGCAATTTATACACCTCTACTTCCATATACTTGGCACTTTTGGCACATGCACGAAGTGGGGCAGGGAGAAGAACCTGGATTGGTGTGTGCGGGAAGCAGAGCAGGGATAAGAACCCGGAAGAGCTCTGGGGCAAGGACTGGGACTCTCTCACTGGCTCAGTCAGCCATCTTAGGACACAGATTTTCCTTATCATGTGTAGCAGGTAGAAAGGCTTGTTGACAAGGGGTGCCAAATGTAAAAGTAACAATCTAAATGTAGCTAATGTAGTGGAATAGGAATATAAAGGATTACTTCAAAATTAACAGTGGAAAACCAAGGTAAAGAACTCATGAAAAGAAGGTGAAGAACAAAGTGACCGAAGCCTTGGGGGTGGGAATGAGACAGAAGGGGAAAGCCTTCCAGACTTCTGGGAGTAAATGCATGCAAAGTACATAGATTAGTGCATAGTACTCAAGTCTTCTTAACAATTCTTTATCTCAAGCAGAAACTATTTATTGGATTTGAATTGTGCCTCAGAAGAAAGGAAGGGTCCTAACAATGAGGTAAAACTCCCACCACTACTGCTAATAAGTAGTAAAAACAACAGTAGGCCCAGGTCTGGTTGCCAGAGATAGGTCAGTAAAACAAAAGAGAAAAATCGCTGCCCTCTGAAGCCTGCATTTTAGCGGTGGTTGGCAAACCATAACCATGATGAGTAAGTTACTTTATAGAAGGGGTGGGTGGTGGTAAGTGCTATGGAGAAAATAAACAGAAGAGAGTAAAGAGGATCAGGAGTGCTGGGGGCAGCTTTTTAAGTTTATTTAAATAGAGGGCTGAGCAGGGTAGAGGAGCCCGTCAGCCTGGGGGCCTGGGAGGCAGACATGGCTGGTTCTTGCTTTTGTAGGCTCTTCTTGCTGGTATGGCCCTTTGCCTCTCACCATTCAGGTTCACCCTTCCTGTCCGGCCCTGCCCGGCCTCCCCGGCCTCACCAGCCCTCCTTGTTGGACATGGCAGCAACTGCTGACTGTACCACGGGCCATGAATACCCTCACTCTTGTGTGGCTATTTTTTTTTATACGTAGTCCTTCTGCCCTTAGATTCTTTTCAATTCAGCAAGCAAGGAGGCTTATTCTATTAGATGTTTTTTCAGAGTGGAAAGTAAGGGTTTTTTTTTCTGATTATAAAAGTAATACAGAATTATTGTTTGTAAAAGTCCAACAATTTAGACGAATAAGCGGAAAGGGAAATTGCCTGTTAAGTTTCTGTCTCCCTCTTCCTCCACCGTCCAGTACTGTAGAGACTGCCAGAGTCTTTCCTGTGCATATATATTTAGTAGGGTATTTAGTATATTTAGTAAAAGTACATACTTTTAAAAACGAAACCGGGACTATTTTATATGTAACCAGCTTTTTCCTATTTGGAAGTATATAATGGTCACTTCTTCATCTCAGACTATATACAGAAGTACCACATCCTTTTATTTATTTATTTACTTAACTTAATCAGGAGGTTTAATTCAGAGCATTGGGCTAGGTCAATGTTTATGGTTTTAATGATAAAATATCTGTTCAAGTGATTAACCGACAGGAATGTAAATCTTAATTAAGTGGCAGTTGAGCTGTTGATGTATTTAGTGATTGGAATGTAAAATCTTCAGGAAAATGTTGAAGTGAGTCTGATAGCTGGCAAAAACAAACTGATTCTAACCTGCAGATGTTTGAAGCTACAGCTTAGAATTGGCGTTTCTGCCTCCCAACCAAGACTCTTAAGATCGCTGTGGGTGGTTTCCTCCAGCCTCTAACCTAATTTCTGACTGTCGAATAACATATTAAGCCACTTAAATAATATATGGATTGGTATTTGTTTTGTCTGAGAGCTTCACATGGGTGATTATTGGGAGGAGACATTTGGATGTGGGAGTTTGTCTTCCTAAGCGTATGCTCCTGGATCCTCACAGTATTTATGGCTTATACCTATGTGCTAGTTTGGGGTCAGCTAATTGATACATTATGGTGGTTAGGTCATGAATGTAGTGACAGGAGACAGCATGCTATCAAGGCAGTTTTAGAATCCTTGTGGTATTATTAACTTTGACCTTTTTTATTATACCAAGAAGATGCTGTTGTCAATACAATTAGGAGTGACTGGTAAACAAAAGAGAAAGATTTATTTTTCAAATCATTTTGCAAAGGTAAAATTCTCCATTGAATTCTGGCTTTGGCAGTGTATTAGCCTAAGATCCCTTTCAATAATAAATTTCAATAATACTATGAAAAGCTAGTGGGCAATTATTATTGGTCGAATGAAGGAGGAAGGAGGTCAGGATGGTTTAATGTGATAGATGTATTCCAGAAGAAGGCTTATAAAATAAGTAGTTATAATCAGTAAATTCACATCACATCAAGATTTGGGGAAAATAAACTGTCTAGGGTTTCCATCCTAAAAGGAGGGTTAACTCCTGAGGTTAATTTTAACTGCTATTTTTTTTTTTCCACATGAAAACAGTACTTTCAGTGAGATGACTTATTTTGATTAAATTAAAACAAACAGAAAAATCTCTTATTTAGAAACATCTGCAGCAGAGAGCTAGAGAAGTACTTGTAGATAGTATAACCCAAATAAAACAGAGAACTTTGTAATTGTGTTTTCATTTTTCCCTAAGCTCATTAAAACCACCCATTTCAGTTACGTAAGTTCAAAATTATAAAGAAATGTAATTACCTTTATTCTCTTTTTTCATTATTTCTGTCATAAACATTTCTTTTACTTTATGGCATAAAGACTGTTTATCTACTTCAGCATTGATTTTTATCAAAATATTTTCTGGCTCTGTAAACCACTGCTCCAATAAAGACCAGTTGTCCAAGAAGCCTATAATCCTGCAAAAATATTGTATGATAACATATACCAATTAAAATATTTGAGTAACATTAATCATGATTTACCCGGCACACATAAGGAAAAAATAAGCTGCCAATACAGTTAAAACTGAAAAAGCAACTCTAAAAAATATACAGGCAATGGAATATTAATTACTTTGAAGAAGAAATTATTTAACCATCAAGCCATATTTTTTTGAGATATATGAGAGTAAAAGAAGATTTGAAAAGGCCACCATTTCAGGAAACCTTCAGTGTAAGTTTGGTTCACTCAGTAAAAATCTACAGGAAGATCGGCTGCACTCACAGTAGAATTAACTCTGAGCACACTTCTCAAGGTAGCTACAGCCTAAGCTACAGCCTGAGGTCATCTGTTTTTCTCTTAGAGACAGAAGTTAAAGAAATCTTTGAGTAAATGTAGATAGCTCAGACTTACTTGCTTGACTCAAAAATAATCTTGGAACGATTCCTGAAACTTTCTTGTCTTCCTTGAGAATAGATAAACTTAATGTAGCTAATTAGCTAATTAATGTAGACAATTACTTTTCTCTGGCTCACCTCCTATTTTTAGACTTCTCCAGGTTTCATAAAATTGCCTAACTCTAAGTTTTCTGTTCCATTGAGCAAACTGCGCACAACGAAGAGAAGGGTGTTTTTTGTTTTTTGGGGATTTTTTTTGTATAACATCATTTTAGCAAAATGGAAGTCATTTTAAACTATACTCTGGTCTGATGCCTAGCTCTTTGAAATATCATGATCTTCACTGGCATTTGCTGAATGAGGGCTAAATTAGGAGTCCATGTAATGAACCATAAAGGGAAGTGTTGCCTGATTTAATTCTTCTCTTCCCATTCTAGGATTTCTCTTCCCATTCTAGCACATTAATATTTCACCCACCATCAAAACTATTTAGTTTTGTTTTACTTGTAAAAGGCTGAATGCTAGAAAATACATCTTTTTTTTCTAGATCTGATGATTCCAAAGTGACTGATGTTCAGTCTGTTCAAAGGGCAAGAAATAAGAAGCAGGACAGTGAGTTTTAGACTAACCTATGCTGAATCTGATCTCTTAAATTCTGGTCCTCATCCATATCTTGGTTTTCAGCAGCTACACGTTGAGTGATGTCTTCATGAGGAGTTTCACTTGAAAATGCTTCAGCTATGATATGAAAATTACTTAATTAGATAATTTGCTAAACCAAAGTTTCAGTAGCACTGCTAAAATTTACTGATGCAAGACAGCCAAAATGATATGATCCTGCCACTGATCCAATATTCATTAAAATATTTAACAACATGTTGAAAGAGTATAATTTTGGGATCAGACTCAGATTTTCCTTGGAAACTGAGGAAAATGACATATGATACAACATTAAAGAGGAGCTGTAGTTTCAATGTGTAGGATCTCAGGACTGACTCTGAAAAGGTGAGAATGAAAAGTGATGGGTCATCATGAATAACAAACTAGGAAATAATGAGAAAATCAACACTATGGTATAAAGATTAAGAATGAAATAACAGGGTGGCCATAAAGTCAAACATATGTAAAAATTATTTTTGACAGTATGTTACAATTCAATAAAGTAAATTACCTTTCTTTCTAGACTGTGATCTTTCTTTATAGGGTAGACATAAAGGAACTGACCACAAGAGACCAAAAACAAAAACAAAAACATCCTCAACAGCTCTGACTGAGTCCTATTCAGGATTGAATGGTACAAAGTCCAGAAAACTCATGAACTTAGAATAAATAGAAAATCATATAGAGGGAAGAGACCCTTGAACTAGATTAAAAGGAATTCAGTCAATGCAAGAGAACACTGAAGGGTGACCTAATCTTGTTCAGGAAAATGGAGAACTCTCACGGATAGAGCAATCAGTTTTCTCCATTTACATTTAGGATAGAAAAAGATGAAGTGATTTAGAATACAGAATAATGCTTTTAGGTTATTTATAATACCCAAAGATTACTGGTGTCCGTGATGGGTGGTGGAAGAAGACTGTGGGAGCTCTTCTCAGGAGGTGCTATCCTGCACCATCTCATGGTCACTCTCTCACTTTGTCAAGGACTTCAGCACATCTATCAGCATGCCTCTCTTCCCCAACTCCACCCTGGCACTGGTCTCCCTTCCCCTTCTCTCCACTTGTGACATTCTCTTTCCAAGACCATGTCCAAATCCTGGATTTTGTGATCATCTTGAGTGGCTCCATCTCTGAAGTCTTAAAGACCTACACTCCTACTATTTGTCTTTCTAGCACTCCCATATAGCTGATGAATCTTTCCAACATCATCCAGTCCCTATACCCTTTCTTCCAAATTTACTTGCATTATCTTGACTTTTTATTTTCTAGCAAACCTGAGTTGCGTGGTTGAACACTCCAGCTTCTCTCCCTCATCTAACAACTTCGATTTGTGTCCTTGAGCTACACCAGCCTTAGCTGATATTTGTCTCTCTTTCCAAGTCTACACTTGAACAGGTAGGCATCCTTGAAGGAAAACACAATTTCATGACTTGTAACCTCACTAATTCCTTGGCTCAAAAATCAGCTGAGTAGATAGATAGATGATAGATAGATAGATAGATAGATAGATAGATAGATAGATAGATGATAAAGAATCTGAGATAAGCTTCTTGAGAGTTATCTTCACTCAAGCTCCCATTCATGCCTCAGTCCACCCCAGACCATCCTTCATGGCCCCCTACTCCATTGAAATAGCTCTCATTCCATTCACCAAAAACATCAAGGCCAATGGACATCCTTATCTTACTTGATTTCTCTGTTGTATTTATAGGTAAAATTTAGCACACAATTCTTAAATACTTTTACACATACTATCTTATTTTCACAACATAACTTGAAAAGCAAGATTATGATTCTGTAATGGGCCCCAAATTGCACAGGTCATAAATGACAAAGCAGGGATTTGATTCCAGTAATCTGACTCCAGGTTCTGGACTTCTTTGTAATGCTTAAACTGTTGAACTATACCCACCGAAAAGAATGCATACATGAATATTTAGCTCAATGACCTCATAAACTGAAGACAGCACCCAGATCAATGAACAAACATTATCAGTCTTGGAAGCCTCTCCCGTTTCTTCTCAGTTACTGTTAGTCACAGAAGTTACCCTTATAGAGCCTGCACTCAAAACCTCTCTATGCCTCTCTCCATACTATGAACACTGCTGCTCCCTCTCAGGCTGGCAGATGAACTGCAGAACTGGCTAAAAACCCAGGCAGCCATCTAGTCTCCCATTCTGACACAGCCTTATGTTCCTACACTGCCTGTTCCCTCTCCTTAGGTCTCCCTGGTCTCTTGCCTATTGGGTTTGAGTCTGGCACCTTTCTCTCTGCCCAGCCTTGGCTGGCCCGATGTTCAGCCTTTGAGCCCACTGGGCTTTGGCTGTAAGCTGCTTCCTTGTGATGCTGTTCTTCAGGCTTCTCCACAGACTCAAGCATTGCAGGCAGCTTGCTGCACCTGACCCTAGAGACTGGGCTCTCACACCCCAACCTGGGCCTCAGGAGCCCAGCCCCTACTGGTCTGGGATGGGAATAGCACAACTTGATTTTGAAAATCTGTCCTTTCTTGGCTTATGAGACACTGCTTTCCCTGGCTTTCTTCCTCTCTCTAGCTGCTGCTTCTAAACACTTCTTCCTTTGCTCTCCCCAATAAATTCTGATGTTTTCTGAGGGTCATCCTGGATATTTTTTTAAAGCACATTTTTATTCCTAGGCGATACCTCTCACCTTCAAATCCTTAACTTTAGGACATGCTTCCTTCCTGACGTCTAGCCCCATTTAGAGAACTGTTCTCTCAACATCTTAGCTTAAAAGTCCACAGGCACTTCAAATTCGACATTTCCTTACAGGATCTCTACGTGTTTCTTTCCATATTCTCTAAGTAAATGGTATCATCATTCAAAAACTGTGTAGGTCAGAAACTTGCATTCATCCCTTTCTCCCTGTGCTCCATCTCCCATCCTCACTGATCACTGAGTTCTGCGATTTGCCCTGTAAATACCCCTTGAAGCTGACCATTCTCACCTTGCCTCTCCCAGCTGTCATAATGCTTCTATTGTTTTTTAGAGGATAATAGTTTTCTCATTGGTTTTATTGCTTCCAACCCCACTCCCCTTCCAATGCATCCTCCATCCTGAGCCAGAATGACCATTATAAAATGCATATCTAATTGCATTAAATCTCAGCTTTAATATCATTCATGATCTCACATGGCTTCAGGAAGATGTTCAAACACCTTAGCTTGGGGCAAGACTCCAGCTGGCCCATGCCTACTCTCCAGGCTCGTTTCTGCCCCTCCTCCATACCTTGCTGCCTCTCAGCCCTACTAGGTCCTTGATATTCTCTAGATGGACCATGCTCACCTGCCAAGGTTTGTGATGTGTTTCTCTCTACCTCTCTTCCTTCTTGGCCTGGTTAACCTCTTCCCATGCTGGGCACACCTAACTCTATTATAATAATAGCACACAACTAACTATATTATAATAATCAGCTTACTTTTGCTTCTTACACTACAACTTGTAGATAGGGATTTGCCTTTCATTTGTGTATTATCAGTTCCTGGCAAATTATAAATCTTAGATAAATGTTTCCTAGTGGCACCATTTTAGCTCCCTTCACTCTAGACCAGTGCTATCCAATAGAACTTTCTGAGATGATGGCAACATTCTACACCAGGGCTGTATGATACGGTAGCTACTAGCCACGTGTGAACATAAAATGTGGCCTGTGTGACCGAGGAGCTGAATTTTTAGTTTATTAATTTTAATTAGTTTAAAAAGCACGTGTGGCTGGTGGCTGCCATGTTGGACACACAATTCTATACTGCAACCTCTTGGTTCCTTAGCTACAATTTCCACTAAATTCTTTGAAGAGAGAATCCATTTCTTCTTTATTGCTCTATACGCAGTGCATAGCACAATGTCTGGCACACTGCAAGCATGCTATAAATAACAAATGAATATATGAACGAACAAAATATTATAGAAGGGTAGAGTCTTGTCTAAAGTAGTTTAAATGGGGTCTTGCTTAACATGAGGAGAGTAAATTGGCAAAATGATATTTCAAAGGCCATTCAACCTAATATTCTAAGAAAGAAAAATCTTTTTTTAAGAAAAATCTTAAGATGTGAAAGAATAACACTCTTTCTTCATTTAAAATACTTTAGTATGAAAACTGCAGATTGATTTTCAAAGTTGTGGCTATATTTAGCATGCTCACTTCTGATCAAAATAAGTAAGAACTATAAAATTAATGATTTCATCCTAGTTTTCATGGTTTAGGTAGCCCCAATCCAACAGTTGGCTCAGTTCACTTCAGACCAAGAAATATGCAATGTTAGAAACATATGGTAAAAAGAAAAATCACATTGTGCTTTAATACTAATTTCTGAGGGTGGATAAATAAGATTAAGTGTATATGTGCACAAAATCTGACAAAGGAGAAGTTCACCCTGTAGTAGTGGAGAAAGGGAATTTTTAAGCCTAATTATAAGTCAAAGGTCAAGAATTAAGAAATTAAACAATTTAGATGTTAACATCAGCTTTGACAAATCTGCCAGAATCACTTGTCACGTAATTTCGATAGGGAATTGAAAGAACTCAAGGTGGATTGAGCTGGACTTCTTGAAAAATTGTTGCCAATTGATTTCCTCCTGTTTCTGAAACATACAACAGTAAGCTTCCTCCGGAGCCCGGAGAGGGTAGGCAAACCTTCTGAGGCCCTTGTAGGGTTATAATCAGCTTCCAGGAACCCTCTTCTCCACAGGTCTCTGTGTGCCCTTTGTAACAACTTGACATATCCATTTTCAAGTCAGATTGATCTTGAGTTCGGGGTCCGGTTCTAATCACCAGTGGGCCATGGGTTGGCAGTGTTCTCAGCCAATTCTCAGCTATGTCCTGAACAGGAAGGGCAAGTTGGCTAGAGAAGCAGAATCATCACTGCAGTCAGCATGGCTCCTACTCCCTTGTATGGCTAGAAGTAAGTTCTCTCTTTTAAGATCTGGTAGACAGCATCCAGTTTACACTACTGGGCTCACCAGCTAAAGTAGTATCTAATGGTTTTGTCATTTCATTTAAGTAAACAGTAGACCTCAAAATTACACAAACTCAAAATAAGGATGAGTGTGACTTTGGACAAGTCAGGTGTTCATGCTTTGAATTCCCATCTATAAATAAAAGCACTGAAATAGATGATTCCCTAGGTCTCTCCTAGCTCTGAATTCATTGTATTAGTAACAACAGCAGTAATAAAAGAATGATAAGGATTGCCATTTGTTAAAGACTGATTTTTTAAAAAGGTAAAATCAAAACTCTCAAACAAAGGCAAAATGGCATTATTTAACTCTCCAGTTAATGAGGGACTAGTAAAATGTTACAACCAGTTCAAATGAGAACCTGAGTAACAGTCATATCTACAGTCAGGAATGCTAGAATAGATGTTAATAGTTGAAAAATTGGTCATTCTGTATAGAGCAATCTAATACTTGAAATCTCTTCAAAAGTTTAGAAATTAATATATATTGATTGAGTAAAAATTCATCTGCTTGTCTATGCACAAGAATCATTTGAATTGCCATTAGTTTCTTACAATTTACTGTTATAGTAAAGGTCAAAGCCAATGAAAGGCACAGACTTCTATAGATGCAGATAGTCCAAAGTGTCAAAAAGACTATACTCAACATTCTACTGAAAGGATATCTAATAATCTCTTGTTCATTTCAAAGTCTTCCATAATTCTTCCTGATGTATTTGCTATCCTGTGCCAGATTCTATCCTAAGTGTTTTACATTAATCTCATTTAATATCTGTGATATTGTGATATAATAAGAAATACATACTTGGTCTTTTTCTCTGGCTCCTGACAAAGAGCTTATAATTTCCTGAGTGATAGGTGTGAGGAGCATTTTTTCTTATTCATAATAAGCCCCTTTCACCTTATCTGAGTTAATGCTAGTGGGATGACTCTTGGAAGATGAGACCTGGTTGCCAGAGGAACCAACCATGTGATTAGAAGGCTGGAACTTTCAGCCTTGACCCCAGACTTCTTGGGAGGGGTGAGGGGCTGAGGGCTGAGTTAATTACCAGTGGCCAATGATTTAATCAATCATGCTTTTTAGAACCTCCATAAAAGCTCTAAACCAAGAGCTTTAGAGAACTTCTGGGATGGTGAACACATCCATATGCCAGGAGGGTAGTGTAACCCAAACTCTACGGGGACCAAAGCTCCTAAGCTTGAGACTCTTCCAGACCCTAGCACTGTATTTTTCTTCATCTGGCTGTTCATTTGAATCCTTTAGGATATCCTTTATAACAAACCAGTAATAGTAAGTGTTCTTTCTATGAGTTCTATGAGACATTATAGAAAATTCAAACCTGAGGAAGGGTCATGGAAACCCCCAATTTGTAGCCAAGTCAGACAGAAATGTGGGTAATGTAGGAATCTACTACTTGAAACTGGCATCTAAAGTTGGGGGCAGTCTTGTGGGGCTGAGCCCTTAACCTATGGAGTCTGCCCTAACTCCCAGTAGTTAGTGCCAGAACTGAATTAAATTGTAGAACACCCAGTTGGTCTCTCCCAAGAACTGGAGAATTGGGTGGGGTAGGAAACACACACATTTGCTGTCAGAAGTGTTATGAGTAAAGAAAGTTCTACTTTAATACCTATAACAATACAATTATAGATTGTGAAACTCAAGTTTAGAATAACAAAGTATCTTTTCCAAGGTCAAATACCTCATAACTTGGAAAGACAAGGTTCAAGAAAATGTGCTTTTCTCATAAGTATTTAATTTGAGGAATAAAGTAATACTTTCATTTCAATGGCAAAAAGTAATTAAATAAACCATGAGTGTTGGAAGGACTATTCAACTCCACCACGTGAGGACTTCGGTCAACTGATACTTGTTCCTCTGACTTCACACACAATCTCAGGGAAGGATGTTACCAGATCCCTGCTTGCAGAAGAGATGTGATTTATGACTTCATTATGGTGACCCACCACAATGTACTAGACAGCCCCAAGAAGCTCCTCCATGCATGCAAATCTCAAAAAGGGTGCCCCTGTGCCAGGGGAGCTGCCAAGTTGAGGGAAGGGTTCAGTGAGATGCATGCAGTCAGCATAGAATTCTCTGCTAGTTCTCTGCAGTGCTGAACACCAACAGTTAAAGCAAGAGGCAAATGTGCTCTGCTAGATAATTCTTTGGAAATCTGAAATGGATTCCTTATTACCACTTCTAATTGTAAATGGGAGTATTCACTGATTCAGTCAAAGAAGGAATGAACAAAGAGCTTTGAATTATAAAAAAGAATATCAAAACAAAGGGAAAAGTGTCCAGCTTACTCATTGTGTCATTCATGCGATCCAGCAAGGAATTATCTGAAATATCTAATAACATGACAAAATCAAATGCAGAAAGCAGAGGAGGCACTTCTTTGGAGGTTGTAGGATCAATAGCCAACGTGGATATTTGTGCTCTCTTTTCCTCCAGTTCTAGAACCTCTCTGCTGCAGCCTGTGAGAGCTTCCTCCAAAAGCTTTGCTTGGTTTAACGTCATTGGAAAACCATCCAAGACCCATCCTTGATCCACAGGTATCTCACTAAGTTGAAAATGGACACACCATGAACATTTTGATAAATACAAGTACTTTGGAAGTAACAATACAATGAATCTTGCCTTTACCTTTCCTTTAACTCCACAGTAAGCTCCTTCCATGCAAATGTTATTACTCTACAGCTAAAATTAGGCTTATTAATGTACCACAATCACTCCTTTGCTTAAAATCTTTCTGTAGGTCCCTGCTGCCCTCCAAATCTATTCCAGAGGCCATAACATGGTATTTAAAACTAACTGGCCACAACTTACTTCCCTATAATGTCTTGTCTTTCCCAGTCTCGAACTATTTACTTCAAACAAACTGATCTCCTCACTGTTAGGTGAGTATGTGTTGCATTTTCTAGCCTGTGTTCATAGGCAGTTCCTCCTTTGAACCATTTCTCATCTACACATCGTGGATTAACATACCTCACAGGGCGGTTATAAGGATAAACTGAAATGATTCATTTTAAAAACCCAGCACCAAGCTTAGCACACAGTAGATACTCACATTGCCAACCTGGAGAGTTCCTCTTATTCCCCCCAATCCAGCCTGGAGCCATAACTGCCTAATCTGAACTCCTCTGGCTCTCATTCACTTCGCTATAAAATTAATAATTATTGTATTTCTTGAATGAGAAAAATTCAAATGAGTCTTCCTTATCTCAATTAGATTATAAGTTGCTGCAGCGTTAGAAGCATTTCTTGGGGTTTTGCTTTCAGGGCAGCATCCTCCATAGAGAATAAGAGCTCCAAAATTATTATTTGAGGTCTTTAAATTGAAAAACAATATGAAAAGGGAAGAAACTTCAACTCGGCTCTTCTAAATCCCTAATTGTGTAAAACTGAGATTCTGATTTTTGGATTAAAAGTTATGACTTAATTTCTTTCTGTTAGAACTCATATTAAACAATAGAATCTCCTTCTCGCCTGTGTAACCTCTCCTTTCTCATTGCCTTCCTATCCAGCACTGACCAGCCTTTGGATTCCTCCTCCTGAAACATAAAACAAGGAAGGGCACTGGCCTGTGACCACACAGTTAGGGTGTCTCTGCTCTATAACGTGTCCCTTGGCTTTTCCAAGAATCTAACTTTTCCCTGAATTCCCCGCAGGGAATAGAACCTGACCTGTATTCACATCTGCATGAGTGAAGTCAAGGCTGGTAAAGTGGGGGAAGTGAAATATACGAATGTATATCACGAAACATATCTTCATCTTGCTGTATGTTTTCTTATGTAGACAAGTAGTATTTATTAGACGTTAAAAAAACATTTCTATATAATTCTTTATATACTTCTATCTGATAAAGAATATATTAATAGATTAAAAAATACATACTTAATAGCATTTACCAAGATGTTAACTAGCAACATGTCAGAAATGCTCTTTCCTTTCTTCAGCAACTTTTCTGATTTTGCACCAAGCCGAGCACGCACAGTCAGCTGTGAAAATAAACAATGAATGGTAGAGTGCAGCTAATTTAAAAGTCAGAATCTGATACCTGGGGGGAAAAAATTAAATGGGCATGTTCTCTGGTGAAGACACTGATCATCTGGCGCAATTCTGGAGGCAGCCAAGCATTTAGGGGAAATGTGTATGCAGATTTTGAGGCTCCTCTGTTGTGGCTCTCTCCTTTCCAAGATCTTCCTCTCAATTTTCAGCTGCTCTGACATCCCCAACCTTCATTTCCTAATACTTTCAATCGAAGCTATTGAAGATTTCTGATTGAGTTCTAGTCACTCTCATGCTGCGCAGACATGATGTGCCTCTGGGATAACCTGTACGAGCATGGCTCTTGCCCAGGTAAGTTCCCTTCATTCAATGATCCAATTTCATACAATTTCTGCTGGTTGGTGCTGCTTGTCTGTCTGCTGCTTTGTTTTTTATGGTCTGCTTTTGGCCTTCAAATAATTCGCTTTTCTATCTTGTCCAGCATTTATGTTATCTGAAGAAAGGCTAGTCCAAGAAAGCTGCTCTATCAACAGGAAATTCCCTAGAGCTTATTCTTAAATCAGCCACCAGTGAGTATTTTGTAAGTTAAATGATATTAGATCCTAGGACCCTGGGATTCCCTCTCTCCCAACAGGAATGCTCTTACACTGTTGGTGGGAATGCAAACTGGTGCAGCCACTAGGAAAACAGTACGGAGGTTCCTCAAAAAGTTAAAAATAGAACTACCCTATGACCCAGCAATTACACTACTAGGTATTTATCCAAAGGATACAAACATAGTGATTCAAAGGGGCACATGCACCCCAATGTTAAGAGCAGCAATGTCCACAATAGCCAAGATATGGAAAGAAACCAGATGTCCATCAACAGATGAATGGATAAAGAAGATGTGGTATATAGAGGGTATTATGCTAAGTGAAATAAGTCAGCAAGAGAAAGACAAATACAACATGATTTCACTCATATGTGAAATTAAAGAAACAAAACAGATGAACATAGGGGAAAGGAAGGAAAAATAAAATAAGATGAGAACAGAGAGGGAGGCAAACCATAAAAGACTCTTAACTATAGGAAACAAACTGAGGGTTGCTGGAGGGGATTGGGTGGGGGGATGGGATAACTGGATAATGGGCATTAAGGAGAGCACTTGATGGGACACCTGGGTGGTTCGGTTGGTTAAGTATCTGCCTTAGGCTCAGGTCATGATCCCAGGGTCCTAGGATCGAGTCCTGCATCTTTCAGGGGTTACTACGAAATTCTGTAGAGTCACCACTAAGTCTAAGGAGAAATTCTGGAAAAAAAATTATTTAAAGGTAAAGAGAGTAGGAAAGGAAATAAAAGTAATAAATTAAGTGGTAAAGAAAAATACATAAATATAAACCTGACATAAGACTAAAATTTTAAAAAAGCACGTATATACCTTGTTACCTGGCAAAACTGAATAGCAATTTCCACCACTTTAGAGATAAAGAATTTAAAGAAAATTAAGTTCTGGCAAAACTGAATAGCAATTTCCACCACTTTAGAGATAAAGAATTTAAAGAAAATTAAGTAACTTAGATTTAGCTAATATTTTACCATCATATTTACTTTAAGTAGGCTCCAAGCCCAGCGTGGAGCCCAACGTGGGGCTTGAACTCATGACCCTGACATTAAGACTTGGACATTTAACCGACTGAGCCACCCAGGTGCCCCAACATCACATTTACTTTAAAACAAAGAGAGGCACATTGCTATATCATTCCTTTTGAAGACATATCAAGAAACTATGAATCATGACCTATTTCAATATACTAGTAGCTAAAATCAGGTTAGTACTTACTTCAGAGAATCTATCACTTGATTTGACTTCTTCAACATTTATAGTTTTATTTGTATCGGTACCTATTAACAGAAAAAGTGGTAAGAACAAACTCCAGTATTTACCACTAAAACCATATTAATATTTGATCACCTATGGCTTTGGACAGATGGGTTATTGGGTCCAGCCATGCCTGAGATGCTCAGAGGAAGGATCACCACAGCACGGCTTCACCTTTCTTCCACCACATTAAAATCCAGCCATTATGTGGCTTGGCGTTTTCTACTTCCTTCCTTCCATTATGGCTCACCGATAATTGTATCATTAGAAGTACTTAAATACAGTTTAGGTTTTCTTTTCAGAAAACTAGCCAAGTTTCTCAAGAAAATCTGTTGAAATGTTAATTCATTAATTTTTATTTTCCTAAACTATCAAGTTATAGGTAATAAACATGTGTAAAAGTAGAAAATTCTAGAAATCAGAAGGGTTGTTCGTTAAAATCTTCAGAAAAAAGCAAGTTTTCAGAGTCCATTTATAATTAACTGGACTTCTGTAATAAAATATGTCATACAATACTTAAAATAGTTTAGAAGTCAATTAAAATTATCTTGTATGAAACACATAACTAAAATAAGGGACAGATTATGCCCTTTTACAAGATGGAAAACTCAGCTGCTCTAGGAGACCCGCACGCTCACCACACTGTTCAGGGGTGATGGTGATAATGACGTTGGCACAGGGGGATCTGAACTTTATGCTAGAATATGAGGAAACTATTAAATACGGCAAGCCTTCACTAGCATAGCTAGAAAAGACATTTAAGATTTAACATTGTTTTCCTTCACTGTTTCTAAAAAGCATCTGAAAGACTAGAACCCAGATCCCAAGTGAGATAACTTTTCATTAGCTTTGGAGGATTTGGTTCTATTTATGTGCCTTGCTCAAGGCTGGGAATAAACTTAACTTTATCTAGGGAACCACTCTTCAGGTGGGTGCAAGAGACCAGACCCTGCAGCCTCCCTCAACACAGTGAACAGCACAGCAGCACGCGGGGAGCCCCAACAGTACCACTCACCCACATCTGCACAGGCAAGAAGAAACAATAAAATACCGTCTCCCTGCAAAGCCAGGAAGAGGGAGGATTTCTCCTGACTGTTACCATAAGCACAACAAAACTGAGCAACTGCTTGAAGGAGTGTAGAAAGATTCCTTCTTAATATTCATCTCTTATCCCTAGCTGTAGACAAAGGTTAGGGACTTCTGTGTTTATCTTGCTCTCTCTGTTAAATGGCCAGGTAGACAACTATGTAAAACTCCCCCTTCTTTCCCTGAAAGCAAGTTTGTGCTCACATACACCTGTACTAACTATTTATCTGTCCGCCTATCTAATGTAATGTAAATAATGGGTGATTTGTTTTGACATCTCACTTACTAAGTATAGTTTTATCTTCTGTTTCTGGCAATGCTTCCTCTGAAGCTGGATAAGGTGAAGACACATTCTGCAGATCCTTTGGGGAGAAAACACACACACACACACACACATACAGGAATTGTAACATTGTTATATTTCAATAATATTTAACATTTTATTTCTACAAGTAAGGTTTACACTATCTTATCAATAACATTGGTATTAAGAAGAACTGAATGATTTCTGAAAACAAGTAAAATTTGATGACTATTCTTACAGAAATAGTAACCTATGATGTACTCTGTCTTTCAAATGACCTTTAATTCTATGTAAAATACAGCAACTGCTATTTTTAAAATACAGTGAAACCTGAGAAAGAGGTAGATTTTATGGAAAACCATTTTAGAAAGAACAATCCTGGAGGTGTCAGTCATAGCCATAAGGGAATAAAGAAAAAACATGTACATGATCTATCATCCAATTGATTGAAATACAGAATGAGAGGCAGTCCACACTTCTCCCAGTTATTCTTTTTTTTTTAGATTTTATTTACTTATTGGACAAGGAGAGAGAAAGGGAGAGCCCACACAAGCAGGGGGAACAGCAGAGGGAGAGGGAGAAGCAGACTCTCCACTGAACAGAGAGCCCCATGTGGGGCTCGATCCCAGGACCCTGGGATCATGACCTGAGCCGAAGGAAGATGCTTAACCAACTGAGCGACTGAGCCACCCAGGTGCCCCTTCTCCCAGTTATTTTCATAATTTGTAGTTAAATGGTATTTATCTTGCAGCCCATGCAAATGATCTGGATTAGATTCTCTGCTAATTTATTCAATTGCAGAGACAACATAAAGCAGGAGAAAGAATGCTGGATTTAGAATCTGGGTTTCCACTCAAAACACTCATCAACAAGCCTTCTGACCCCGAGCAAACCAATTCATACTTAGGACCTCTACTGTCTCCGTTTTAAAATGGTGCTGGACCGCATCATGATTCTCAAGGTGGGGCCACATTTTCATATTTTCTGCCTTAGGATCTTCATGCAATAATGTAGCAAGATGCAATATTGATGGGAATGTGACACAGGTAAACCACAAGGAAGACCTCTCCCTTCTCCACCACCCCTCTCCTCGCAGATCACATTCAGCCATCCAACTGTTTTTTTATATGGTCCCTGGGCATCCCTCTGCGGAATAGCGCTGTGAGCCAGGGGACCAAGCTTGGCATCCCCCTCTGCCCCTTCTCTGCTCTGCTCCAGCATCTGCCTCAGCCACTGCCCAAAGCCGGCACTGGTCTTTAACTATGCAATGGATACTCTGCCATTGGCCACTGCAATTTCACAATTTCAGTGATGAAATATCACTCCAGGAGCTAATGACTTGGTGAAGTCCCCCCTCCAACACTCATACCCCACCCTCCTCCAATCCCTTGCAATTCAGCCCCTTCACCCCCTTACCAGTCCTACCAGCCTGTGGCTCTTTCTTTAGGAGACTGTCTCCAGCTGATGGTAACTGGGCACGAAGTGGGCCAACCACCCTGGATGACCCACCAGGCAAACTAGGGGACGGCAGGGAGGAATTTTCTTTCTTGTTATTATAAATACACACATAGTAACCTTGATTTTGCCTCTTGGTCCACAAAATCTAAAATATTTTCTCTCTGGGCCTTTACAGAAAACGTTGCTAACCTCTGGTCTAGAAGATCTCTTAGATTCTATTCAGCTTCAAATCTCTAGACTATGAGGAGCAGAAAAGAAAACTAAAGTCACACTTGCCTGGATTTCTTTGCTCTTCTCTTGCAGAACTGGTGGAGTCTTTTCTTCAGCTTCTTTCTCAATTGGTAGAGCCTCACTGATTTTTTCATTGTCATGAAATGCTTTGATAGCTTCTTGGACAAGAGTGTCAATAGAAAGTATCTGAATAGGAAAGTCTAAAGTGCAAAAGACAATTTTATTAATATCTTTTCATTTAGGAAATTGACATAATTATCCTTCTGTGCTGGTTTCATCCAATAACACTGTCTCTAGGGCCTCCTACAACTGTCTTTTGGATTAAGCCACTTATTTTTTTTTTATTGTAGTAAAATTCACATAACATAAATCTAACCATTTTAACCATTGTAAATGATACACCTCAATGGTATTTACGTCATTCATGTTGTCCAACCATCAGCACTATCTTGTTCCAAAAAATTTTCATCACCAAAAGAGAAAACCCTGTACCCATTAAGCATTCACTCCTTATCTCTCTATCCCTGTCCCTATAACCACTAAGTTGTCTTCTGTTTCTATGGATTTGCCTATTCTGGACATTTCATATAAATGGAATCATACAATATGTGGCCTTTTGTGTCTCATTTCTTTCATTCAGCATTGTGTTTTCGAGGTTCATCCACGTTGCAGCTCATATCAGTACCTCACTCCTTTTTTATGGCTGAGTAATATTTCATTATATAGATTAATACCACTTTTATTATCCATTCATCAGATGACAGGCATTTAGATTTTGTCCCCACATTCTGGCTACTATTAATAGTGCTGCTATGAATATTCCTGCACAAGATTTCTTTTGAACACCTGTTTTCACTCCTTTGAGGGTATATATCCCCTAATGGAATTGTTGGGGCCATCTTTGTTTAATTTACTGAGGAACCACCAAACTGCTTTCCATAGTGGTGACACCATTTTACATTCCCACCAGCAACATATGTATGAGGGTTCCAACCAACACTTCCTCACCAACACTTGTTATTTTCCTTTTTTTTATTTACACCTATCCTAGTGGGTGTGGAGTGGTACCTCATTGTGCCTTTGTCAAGCTGCTTTTCAAGGAGGTCCTTTTAACATCTCAATAATGATCTACCCTTGTCTGTCTTGGAATAGTTTAAAATGGACTAGTCTCTACAAATTGTGTTTTCCAGTGAAAACAGTAAAAAATAAGTATAACTGAATAAAAACTAATTAAACAGATGGAAACCTGGGCTTCTAAGTGAACGAGCTTCAAAAGAAAAAGCCAAAGGTTCATAAAAAGACAGAACTCAATGGATGTGAAGAATTAATATGTTCATAATTTTAAGTGGATTTCTTTTGTATTTGTTATAAATTATTAATTTCCCCCTTCATTGGTAGGTAAATAAAATCTATGAGGAAAGTTTATAACTTGTTATTTCTCAAGACTATGCACACCATTATATAGCATATTCATATATCCAGGTTTGCTTGGGACAGTGCCAGTTTATGACTCTTAAATCCTAAAAGTGTCTGCCTTGGACAAGTAATTATATGATCACTGTATTATAAAATTTTTGATGACAGAGTTTCCCAACATATCAGTAGATTCTTATGTATGTTGTCTACAGACATAGCCATTTGCAACTACAGTCAATGCAAATAGAATCCAATAAGTGGAAAAAAAAGAAGAAATTCTACCTTTTTGTAGAGCCTTTAGAGCAGTGGTTTTTCCACTAAATGTTTTCCCCAGTAAGCACCCTTTAATAGTAAATGAAGGTAATTCTGATACTGTTGATTTGACTTGAGGAGGATGAGATTTTTCAACTAATCTGTGAATCACGTGACCCAATATGCTATTGTTGGAGGGTGGTAAATTTTCTACCATTTCTTCTGGTAAGGCCCACTCTCCAACCATGTTCTGCAAAATAACAATGAAACAAACAAAACAGAATATTCTTAAAAGTGGGAATTTAGGCATATAAAAATTTTTAATATTGAAAATAAACTCAAATTATAGCAAACAAAAGTAATACTTTAAATAATTATGTTACATAAATGAGTAATAACATAAATAATATGTTCATATTAGAGAGCAGAAAAATGAGCTTCCTATGGAAAAGTAAAAATCCTTAACAGTTTATGAAAGTAGGCATACTGAGTTGAGACAAATTGTAACTCAGGTTGAGCATAAAGACACTTAAATTGAAGCTACCCTCAGTAAATAGATAAAAGAGAATAATAGTTTATCTGCTATCTTATGTAAACACTAAGCTTATTTTAAGATATCTTAATGTAAGAAAGATAAAAGAGAATATTCATGCCTGATATGATGCCCTCTACATCTATTACATTTGACTCCCAGTTTTTTCAGGTTTCTTGCTGAAATGATCAAATAATTACAGGTTTACAAACAAATTACAGACCACATTCTCTGTAATAATCTAGAACTCAATTTTAAAAGATATGAGAAATATAAATACTTAAAAATTATAAGCATTCTTGTAAAGTAATTCTTGGATTAAAGAAGAAGTTAAAAATATAAATGTACAAAAAGAACATTAAAACAATAGATTAAAAATATGGGATGGGATCCAACTGTACTCAGAGGAAAATTCATAGTCCCATAAAATGCCTGATCTAAAATAAAAAAGAAGGAAAACAAACTAAGCATTAAAATAGGAAAAATAATTTTAAATAAATAAATGAGGAAGGAACTCATAAAAATGGAAATGTTTAGAGAGCAAAACTATCAAGTTACTTTTGATATTGATATTGATTGTATTGATAATATTTCTAGAACTTGTCCAGACTAATCACAATACAGAAATTGCTACTAGTTCTGAATAAAGGTGAAGAATAGCAAGTATCAATTTTGTAACATACTATGAAAGAAACAAGAGATTTTAAGGATACTTAAAAAATTTTTTTTTAATTTTATTATATTTAAATTCAGTTAATTAACATATAGTGCATCATTAGTTTCAGAGGTATAGTTCAGTAATTCATCTGTTGCATATAACACCCAGTGCTCATCACATCCCACATGCCCTCCTTAATGCCCATCACCCAGTTACCCCCTCACCCACCACCCCTCCCACAACCCTCAGTTTGTTTCCTATAGTTAAGAGTCTCTCATGGTTTGTCTCCTTCTCTGACCCATCTTATTTTTTTCCCTCCCTTCCCGTATGATCCTCTGTTTTGTTTCTTAATTTCCATATATGAGTGAAGTCATATGATAATTGTCTTTCTCTGATTGACTTATTTCACTTAGCATAATACCCTCTAGTTCCATCCATGTTGTTGCAAATGGCAAGACTTCATGTTTTGATGGCTGAGTAATATTCCATTGTATATATGTACCACATCTTCTTTATCCATTCATCTGTTGATGAACATCTGGGCTCTTTCCATAGTTTGGCTATTGTGGACACTGCTGCTATAAACATTAGGGTGCAGGTGCCCCTCTGGATCACTTTATTTGTATCCTTTGGGTAAATAGCTAGTAGTGCAATTCCTGGGTTGTAGGGTAGTTCTATTTTTAACTTCTTGAGGAACCTCCATACTGTTTTCCAGAGTGGCTGCACCAGCTTGCATTCCCACCAACGTGTAAGAGGGCTCCCCTTTCTCTGTATCCTTGCCAACATTTGTTGTTTCCTGACTTGTTAATTTTAGCCATTCTGACTGGTGTGAGGTGGTATCTCATTGTGGTTTTGATTTGTATTTCCCTGATGTCAGGTGATGTGGAGCATTTTTTCATGTGTCTGTTGGCCATTTGTATGTCTTCTTTGGAGAAATGTCTGTTCATGTCTTCTGCCCATTTCTTGACTGGATAATTTGGTTTTGGGGTGTTGAATTTGGTAAGTTCTTTATAGATTTTGGATACTAGCCCTTTATCTGATATGTCAACTGCAAATATCTTCTCCCATTCTGTAGGTTGTCTTTTGGTTTTGTCAATTGTTTCCTTTGCTGTGCAAAAGCTTTTTATCTTGATGAAGTCCCAATAGTTCATTTTTGCTTTTGTTTCCCTTGCCTGTGGAAACTTGTCTAGCAAGAAGTTGCTGAGGCTGAGGTCAAAGAGGTTGCTGTCTATGTTCTCCTCCAGGATTTTGATGGATTTCTGTCTCACATTTAGGTCTTTCATCCATTTTGAGTTTATTTTTGTGTATGGTGTAAGAAAGTGGTCCAATTTCATTCTTCTACATGTGGCTGTCCAATTTTCCCAACACCATTTGATGAGGGGACTGTCTTTTTTTCATTGGATATTCTTTCCTGCTTTGTTGAAGATTAGTTGACCATAGAGTAGAGGAGGAGATATTTGAAGATGACATATCAGTCATATACAATATATATATGGAATATATACAATGGAATATTACTCAGCCATCAAAAAATGAAATCTTGCCATTTGCAACGACATGGATGGAACTATAGTGTATTATGCTAAGTGAAATAAGTCAATCAGAGAAAGAAAATTATCACATGGTTTCACTAATATGTGGAATATAAGAAGTAGCACAGAGGATCACAGGGGAAGGGAGGGAAAATTGAATGGAAGAAATCAGAAAGGGAGCAAACCATGAGAGATTACAACTACAGGAAGCAAACTGAGGGTTGTGAGAGGGGAGGTAGGTGGGGTCACTTGGTGACAGGCATTAAGGAGGGCATGTGATGTGATGAGCACTGGGTGTTATATGCAACTGATGAATTACTGAACTCTACATCTGAAACTAATGATGTACTATGTGTTGGCTAATGGAATTTAATTTAAAAAAAGATACAGTAATGAAAAAATGAGTTTCAGAAAGAAAGAAGCTTAGTCAATGCACAAAAATATAAATTCTATAAACAGATCTAAGTATAGTAGGAATTTAGTACATAATAAGGTTTATATTTCAGTCACAGAGAAGGGGATTATTTCATAACTGGTACTGGAATACCTTATGGCCACATATTTGAAAAAAATTAACTTGGATATCCTTATAGTTTTCATGAAAATAGATTCGGGAACCAAGAAATCATGAAGGCACCAAAATCTGGATGAATATTTATATGTTCCAGGATGGTCTTTTTAAGCATGAAAACCATAGAAGAAAAGGCTGATAAATTTAATTATATAAAAATAAAATGTTCTATACATCCCCCCCCACATAAACATACCTACACACAACTTAAAAATAAAGAACAAAAGGAAAGTGTCTGTGAACATATATATGTTTGACAAAGGGTTAAGAGTCTTAGTTTATAAACAGCTCTAAGCAATCAGATAAAGAAAAATATCCCAACAGAAAAAAAAGGCACAAAGAATATGAACAGTCAGTACCCAAAATAGAATAAAATGGTCAATGAGTTTTTGAAGCAATGTTCAAATTCACAGAAATAAAGATATCCAAATAAAACAATGATGCATCATATTTTGCCTAACACAAAAAAATTAGTCATACTTCTCATTCAATACTGGTGGGAGAGTAAATTAACACATTGCTTTATTGTATTTTCTAAAGTGTTCAAAGTTGCTATAACATCACTGTAATAATAATGAAAAATAATAAAAACAATTACAGACACAAAAACAGATAAGATTAGGGTTTAATTTATATACAAATCACTGGAAACTTAAGTAAGATAGTATTTTTCTGAAGTCACTTAAAGATCTTAAAAAATATCTTTGATGCATATAAAAAAATTTAGTAACATAAGTAGGGAACAATTTTATTATATAAATATTCCATCCACAATCTACAAAGACTAGAAATATATGTCACTTATGATCTGTTTTAAGATTATTTGAATTATACTGAACTCTACATCTGAAATTAATGATGTACTAAATGTTGGCCAATTGAATTTAAATTAAAAAAAAAAGATTATTTGGAATTAGTACATGCAACCTATTTATCTAACTATTCAAACTTCAAAACACTCTGATATGTTATTTCAGTGGTCCAGAACATTATGAATTCAAGATATATCAGCTTTTTTAAAAATCATGTTTAAGTCTTCCCCAATTCTTATGATCCGTTTTATTAGCACTTTTTTTATTTTATTTTATCACTTGCCCCCAGTCAACTTATCCCCAACCACCTTAACTTAGTCTTCTTAGTCCAAATAATTGGGACAGAAAAACATGAGCAATATCCACTGGGGGAGAAAATGAGTTTCCTCAACAACACAGGCTTTCATGAAAACCAAAGAGAGAACAAAAACAAAAGACAAAGTTCATTGTATTTCTTCACAAAACATGGGCCAATTTTTCAACTTCTGCTAATCTGAATTGCCTTACCTCCTTTTCTTTTTTAATTTTTTTGAGAAGGAAAGTAATGTCTCTTCTGACTACACATCAGGATATAAATCTTTATATTTGTATACTTATACTAATATATATTCTATGTGACACAGCATAAATATTCATATATGCTAGGTCATATATAAATGTATACATGTTTTTATATATGCTCTGTCACATATTAATAAATACATGCCTATGTTGTTGCATTTCTTTTTCTCAGTATTCTTCCAATATCTATCAATTACCTGACAAAAAAATGTTTGCTCAGAATATAAACTGACAAATTTGATAAGTGCTATAGAAGAGTTGCCTGGTTTGGTGACAGAATTTCTGATATGACAACATTCTGAGGTAAACAAATGCTTTTTGAAACAAATAAACAAAATCCCCCAAAGTATTCATAATAGGTTTTCCTTTAAAACTGGTGGAATTTATTACTAAATAAATATAATTGTATCTGATTATTACTTCTATTCAAACTATCTTTTCTTTGTAAAATTTATTTTGTTTTACTTTAATGTCTTTGGTTTTTCTAACAATTCTGTGCATTGTTCAAAATTAGCTAAATACTAAATTGCTTTCCATAATCATTGATTGAATTAGAATTTATTGCTTGCTTCTGCTTTCATTCA